TATGCGTTTGAGTGCTAATATTGCAAGTCCATCTTGCACCACCATATCAGAGATCAACATCACCACTTCAAGAGTCCAACATATTCAACTAACATCAATTTTGATTTCCTCACAAAATTATGACATCGTCTATGCGAATCAATACTATAAATTCAATTATTTAATCTACTCCCTATAAGTTAGGGGTGTTCATGAATTCAAAACGACACAAAAACCTTTAACTGTGACAATTTGCAATACCTTGATTCAACTATTGATCCAACTAAAATATAAACCATCTACTAATTTATTATTGAAATATTAAATTAGAATATCAGATTAGATTTGATTTGATTAGATTTAATATTTAACTATAATACAAGTTGTGTAGACCCAAGCCCAATTAGGGTTGTATATAAATAGTCCTAGTCTGTATCATTATTTGTACAATTCAATATAATATAAATCCTTATTTCCTTTATTATTCCCTCTTTATCTCCTCACTAAAGTGCCTCACGCACTAACAAATTGGTATCCAGAGCTTTCAGTTATTGTTCTTGATCGAGTTTTCAAGAATTTCATGTCATAAATCGTGTTTCTAGGGCAAGTGAATCAACCGCTGCAAAGATGGCTAGTGATAAGGGAATTCTGAATTCTCTTCTAATTTTTGATGGAAAGAATTGGATCCGATGAAAAAAACAGATGCAATCCTTATTTGGCTTCCATGAAACCCTTGAAGTGGTTACCGACGATGTTCCTGCGTTGGCTGCAAATGCAACTGACGAACAAAAAAAAGCCCACAACAAAGTCAAGAAGAAATATTGCAAGGTTTCTTATTGCATCCAGACAACGGTCGATGCTGCTAATTTCAACAGAATGTCTCATGCTGAAACGATGAAAGAGACATGGGATATTCTGGTGAAGTATTACGAAGGAGGTGAGAAAGTCAAGGTTGTCAAGTTACAAACCTTGCATCGACAATATGAGTTGTTGTCGATGGGATAAGATAAAATAGTTGCAGAATATGTGTCGAAGGTTCAAAAACTCGTCCATCTCATGAAGGGTTATGGTGAAACCATAACTGATAAGATGATAGTTGAGAAGGTAATGATAATTTTGACCTCTCACTTTGATCACGTTATCGTAGCTATTCAAGAATCCAAAAATCTTGAAACCACTAAAGTGGAAGATTTGGTTGGTTCGTTGGAGGCACATTAGATGAGGATTGTCGAAAGAAAAGGAGTGCAAGACTCAATACAGGTTCTACAAGCTCAGTCGTGGAAAAAGGATTGTGGTTTCAACAAATTCAAAGGTAAGTTCGACAAAACTCAGGAAAGAAGTCTTGGTCGAAACCTCACAAACATCAGGTCAAAGATATAGCTTCTGAATCCTCAAAAGGAGGAGGAGGAAACTATAAAAAAGGCAAAGAAGATAAAAAAATATGTATAGTGTTATAACTGTGAAAAATGGGGTCACATAGCCAAGAATTGTTGGTACAGAAAATACAAGGGATCGACAAGCAAGGACGAAGGAACGAACCTTGCACGCCAAGATTCAGATGATTCTGAAGGTGGTATGGTGGTTATGGCTGTAGTTGCAGATAACCATGTCGAATCCAAAATCTGGTTTCTCGACTCAGGATGCTCGAACCACATGACTGGTTGAATGGAGTGATTGGCATATTTTGACGAGTCGAAGAAGAGTAAGGTAAAACTTGTTGATAATAGTTTGTTGCAAGCAGAAGGTACTGGAAATATAGTCTTTCAAGATATTATGATTAATTAAAAAATTTCATGGGATTGGAATTCTAGCAATTCAATTAACAAGCCATTGATGAGTTCTGATGTCGATGAAGAAACTGATGAAGTAGAGGTCGAAGGAATTGTTGAGAATCCAATCAAAGTCGAAGAAGAAACAATTGATGACATTCCTGACACAGTTGAATTCGAAGAGGTTGTGGCTAAAACAAGTCAAAGACCTCAAAGAAATAGAGTTCTTCCAACAAGACTTCATGATTATGAAGTAGTGGGTGATGATGAAGTCACACCAGATGGAGAATTAGTTCATTTTGCTTTACTTGCAGGTGCTGAACCAATTAACTATAGCGAAGCTTTGAAGACTAAACAGTGGAAGTTAGCTATGGTCAAAGTGTTATAGGTAATCGAAAGAAACAACACATGGAAGTAAGTCGATTTGCCAACACATACAAAAGCTATCAAAGTAAAGTGGATATTCAAGTTGAAACATAATGTTGATGGCTCGATAGCAAGACATAAAGCAAGATTAGTAGCTCGAGGGTTTCTTCAAAGAGAAAGACTCGACTACTCTAAAGTATTTGCTCCAGTAGCAAGATTGGAGTTTGTTCGACTAGTGGTAGCATTGGCATGCGACCAAGGATGGTCGAGATTTTCATTTAGATGTGAAATTAACCTTTCTGAATGGTCCTTTAGACGAAGAAGTCTATGTAACTCAACCTCCATAGTTTGTGATTCAGAAGGAAGCGAGTAAAGTATATAAGTTGCACAAATCTCTCTATGGCCTCAAGCAGGCACCTATGGCATGGAACAAGAAGATCGACTCATACTTAGTCGAATTGGAATTTGTCAAATGAAAATCTGAGTATGGTGTCTATGTTCAGGTTGTAGCATAAGATATAACAATCATCTGCTTATATGTTGATGACTTGCTAGTAACTGGAAATAGCTTGGAGAACTTGTCGAAGTTCAAAGAGCTGATGATGAAGGAATTTGAAATGTCTGATATGGGAAAATTGTCTTATTTCTTAGGTATGGAATTTCAAATGTCAAAGCAAGGTATGGTTCTACATCAAAGGAAGTATGTCAAAGAAATACTCAAGAGATTCAGAATGGATGATTCGAATCATGCATCCTCACTTGTCGAACCAAATGTAAAATTGGAGAAGAATGTAGAGGAAGACAAAGTCGATGTAACTTTATTCAAGCAAATTGTGGGATCTCTGAGGTATGTGCGCAACAGTCGACCTGATACATATTTTGCTGTAGGATTAGTAAGCAGATATGTGAGTGAACCAAGAGTGTCACATATGAAGGTTGCAAGAAGAGTCCTGGGATATTTGAAGGGTTCGATAAACTGTGGAATACTATTTTGACGAGATTCTAAAGACAAAGAAGCAATAGTTAATTGTTTTTCAGATGCTGATTGGTGTGGAGATAAAGAAGATCGAAAAAGCACAACTGAATATTTATTTCAAGTATTTGGTGCCCCAATCTCATGGCGTTCGAAGAAACAACTAGTGGTGGCATTATCATCTTGTGAAGCTGAATATATAGAAGGATCCTATGTTGCATGTCAAGCAATTTGGATCAGATTTGTACTTGAAGAAATGAAGGTCGAAGTAAAGAAACCTCTTGTATTACAAATCGACAACAAGTCAGCCATAAATCTGGCGAAGAATCCAGTCCTGCATGGAAGAAGTAAACATATTGAAGCAAGATTTCACTTCTTGAGAGAAAAGGTAAATTGAGGTGAACTTGAAGTAAGACATTGCTCGAATGAAGCACAGTTGGCCGATAATTTCACCAAAAGATTGAAGATTGACAAATTCTTGAATTTCAGAAAGAAATTAGAAATAGTTCAGATTGACTATTTTTGAGGATGTTCGACAACTTAGATTATGAGAGTGTGTTGAAATATTAAATTAGAATATTAGATTTGATTTGATTTAATATTTAAATATAATTCAAGTTGCATAGACTCAATCTCAATTAAGATTGTATATAAATAATTATAATCTGTATTATTATTTATATAATTTAATATAATATAAATCTTTATTTCTTTTATTATTCAATTTTTCTCTCTTCACTAAAGTGTCTTACGCACTAGCATTTATAAATCATTAACTATAAAAATATCGGAAGCTATATAAGCATAATAAATAGTAAACTAATAAATCAAGCTATATAAACATAATAAACTAATAAATCAAACTTTTTATCATTGATATGAATATTTTTTTAAAAAATGATAAATGAGTTATTATGAAATACTCCATAATGAGTTTGGGCAGACCCACACGTCTTGGTCAGAAGAGTACTCCTCAATGGCATTTACTTTCTAACCAACCACCCATTAAGATTTCCTGCAGGCATGCCTCTTCACTCACTCCTCAATTATAAAACCCTTACCACATCATTCCAATTTAACTCACTCCTCAATTATAAAACCCTTACCACATCATTCCAATTTCACTCACCTCCAAATCAATCTCTTTCACACTTTTCCACCAAACTAGAAAACATGGCTTTGGGAAGAGGTAGTGCATTGGTTCTACTAGTCTGCTTTTTTGTTCTTCACTCCGAGTTGGCCCATGCTGTTACCTACACAGTTGGAGGTAACGGTGGTTGGACCTTTAACATCGTTGCTTGGCCCAAAGGAAAACACTTTAGGGCCGGTGACACACTTGGTATGCACCATCTTTGTATTACTAAAATTATTTATCAATAACATCCAACTATATTGTGGCCGCAATTTCATACGCAAACAACCCGTTTAAATGATGACACATATGTTTTTTTACATGTTTGTGCAGTCTTCAACTATAGCCCAGGTGCTCACAATGTGGTGGCTGTGAACAAAGCAGCATATGACAACTGCAGTACCCCACGAGGAGCCAAAGTTTATCGATCAGGAAAAGATCAGATCAGGCTTGCTAGGGGACAAAACTACTTCATCTGCAATTATGCTGGTCACTGCCAATCTGGGATGAAAATTGCCGTCAATGCTGCCTAAATTTTATATTATATACTTTATTACTATCATACTAATGATAATGTAGTGTTCATCTTTTATATGTGTGTTTTGCAAATTTCATACCTCCTGTTGCGTTGAGTTCTTAATATTAAATAAGTGGATAGATGGGTGTGAAATGTCAGGTATTAGTACACCATGTTTGTTATCATGGGTCCCATGATAATAAGGACAAAATTTAAGGACACTTTTTTACGTGTGGTTTTTATTATTTTAATTCGAGTGAAAATATGAATAATGTTGAATGGTACTATTTTAAACTTCTCTCGTTATTTAAGACTTGTTGTTACAAACATGTAATCAATTGTACAAACCATATGAGAAAAATGGACTCCGACGTGGTGGTTGGGCTAAAAGACGTGCTTAGTGCACCCCACACTTTTAATGCCGTCTATACTAACCCACCCGCTTTAAATATTTGTCTAATATAATATTTGTTATTTGTTCTATAAAAGTTTAAGCTCAATTAAGCCTTCGCTAGTACAATAAGATTGATCGAAAAAAGTTGAACTTGATAGCAATTTTTTGTTAATGAAAAGACAATAATTTGTTGACTATATTATATTTAGACAAAATTAAAAGTTAAACCAAAAAGAAAACTCGAATTGCATCAAAATAGTTTTTCTTTTAGAATAAATATAGGTGAATTGAATTTCAAAGGGCTTACATTAAAGTAAATCTTAAAATTCAAAAAGCATTGATATAATTAATTACAAATATCTCACTAGAATGCAAAGTAAGAGGAAATCATGAATGCAATGTATAATATGTATGATAATTCTACTCAAGGCTATGAAAGTTTTGAAGGATATTTTTTTCAAGGCTATTAAGAAAATATGATCAATTCAGCGAATCAATTTTTTGAATAAGATTAGATTCTTATAAATCTCAATTTAATCAATGTGATTTTGATATATAAATAATATGAGCATATTTTATTGAGCAGTATACACTTTTTGCAATTGTAAACTTTCAATTTAAAATATTACTAAGATAATTGCAGATAAATTGGCCATCTTAGATCTTAAAACTGTTTAAAAACATCAAAGAGACTTCATTAATTGCATTGGGATTATTTTATAAACCATTAACGTGTTTGATGAAAAAAAATTTGGAGGTTAAATGACATTGAAGATAGACATAACAAAATCTTTGATAGTTTAGATTGACATTATCTTATTAAATTTATTTTTAATTTGTCTTTGATCAAAAAATTTATAATAGTATTCTTATCATTTTCCACTTAGACAAACTATCAATCATGATAAATGAGATAAATATTGGATTGTTTTCTTGCTATAAAGAATTGAGACAAGGAGATCATTTATCTCTCTTGCTCTTCTATATTGCTGAAGAGACACTTAGTAAGCAGTTATCTATGTTGGTGTATAAGGGAAAGCTAATATGCATATCAGTTGATAAGACAATCATTCCTAGACACCTTTTTTTATTGCAGATAATGTTATGAAAATCTATTAGAAAAAATGCTCAAGTCATTAACCATATCCTTCAAGAATATGGTTAGAACTTTAGTTAGTATATCAATCCAATTAAATGTAACCTTTATGGTGGAGCGAGTTCTGGATCTAGGCTAAGACAAATTGTAGATATGCTTAGATTCATTGTGAGACAAATACCATTTACCTATCTTAGAGCTCCTTTTATTCAAAGACAAATCTATAACTCACCATCTTTAAATCATAGCAGATAAAGTATTGATCAAGCTAGCCTCTTGGAAGGACTATCTTATTTTTATGATGGTCAGTATTTAATTTGCCCAATCAGTCATACAAGGCATGCTATTGTATAGTCTTAGAATTTAGGCAAAATAACCTTTTTGGTCACTTAAGTTTACCTCGGGGTCCATTTTGGCCCCTTATCTTTAAAAAGTTTCAAAGTGGTCCTTTAATTGTTCCACGTTAGTCCTTTCCGTCTAATTTTTCCAAACAGTGTCAATTTTTCTATGCTGGCATCTGACGTGTGAAACATTCTTATACACATGGAATTTGACATGGCATATGTTTATTAAGATCATTAAAATTCTGAAAAAACATTCCAAAATTTTGAATTTAGCCTGGATTTGAACCAATGCCATCTTATTTGCAACCAATAGCAACTTACCACTACACCACTTCACAATTGATGTTTTAATATTTCATTCAAGTTTATTATAAGTCACCTCTACAATTGGATGAAGATTATTTGCAGATCTTCTAAAAATATTTCACAGATCTACAATTGATCTTCTAAAAGCATTTCACAGATCTTCTAAAAAACTGTTATTTGCAATGGAACAATTTCAATGAAACACGATGATAAAGCAATGGAGTGATTTATTGGCAGAAATAGTTTGAGGAATTTTGTGATTTTGCCCAAAGTTAAAACACAAAGCAGTGAAGTGATTTTCTTCTCACACACACTCGCTTGATATTTCACTTTGTTTCTCATATGCATTCATCTTACAGTGAAGGAAAAATAACAAGGAACCAAGTTTTTGGCCGATTCAATGAATTGGGCTTTTAGGGTTTTGTGAGGCTGATGACGGTGCGTCGTTTTCCAACAAAGGTTATGTCTGGTGAACAGAGAAGGTCTAAGACTTCTTCTACTTTTCTTTCCTCTTCGTTCTATTTTCCGATTTGAACCAAACTTGCACCTGCATGTCTTATCGATGTGGATGTTATCGTTTTAAGGGAGGAAATTTGAATGAATGACGGATCTGGAAGCAAAAATCATATTAATAAACTAACTCCTCATGATTATGTTGAGTGTTGTGACTCTTGCTTGTTTCTATATCTCTCTAGTTTGTGGTCTTGATGAAACAGATGTTGAATTTAATGGAAAAAAAGGATTCCTTTGTTCTGTAGGATTTTCTTGAATTAGACGTGATTATGAAGAAGAAGGATATGAAAGGTCAAGGTGAAGAAGAAAGATTTGATATAACAAATTTTTCATAAAATAATTTTGTTCTCGTTAGTGGATGAAGAATAATTGTTTGAATTGAATTGAATTGTAATTTTTAATTAAGAATGAGAAAGTTAATAATAAAATAATTAAGAATGGTAAGTTGTTTCTCATGTATGCAAGGTGGCCTGGGTTCGAATCCAACTTATATACAAAATTTTGTAATTTTTATAGTAATTTTGATGACCTTTGATGATGAACACACGCCACGCGTATGAAGAGGTGTCACGTCAGATGCCACCCAAGCAAAAGTTGATGCTGTTTGGAAAAATTGGACAAAAAGGACTAACATGGAACTTTTTGAATAATTAAAGGACCACTTTGGAACTTTTTAAAGATAAGGGACCATAATGAACCCTAAGGTAAACTTAAGAGACCAAAAAGAGTATTTTGCCTAGAATTTATGAATGATCAATCAATCTTGTTAACAAACTAGATTCTTGCATCAAAAAATTTGTGTGAACGTGTAGTATAAATAATAGAAAATTGATTATAATATTTTGGAAGGTTATTTTCTTATCCTTGTCTAAAGAAGGTCTTGGCCTGAGAGATATTAAGACAATAAAAAAAATCTGATTGTCTATCTATTTGTTGGAAGTTGTTGACTAGCAATAATCAATGGTGTTTTGTAGAGTCATGTCTCAGCAAGTTTATATTTTGATGATTACAAACATCATGATCAAGGCAAAAGCATTATCAAAAATAAGAAGAAAAAGTATCTACTCAAAATGGACTTTTGGCTTGCATGCTAAGTTACTCATAAATAAGACTTTGCTATTTGATCTTCATTATGGTACAATACTCCAATTCAATATAGTATATTACTATAGTTCTCAAAATATTTCTAACATTATGTATACATGTTTCATGGATTTTAATATAACTATAATTGCATTTCCAAGCCATTAAAAAGGTTATTTCACTTTTTCATACAGTGATAACCAGTTACAGGTTTCTGGTAACCTGTTACAGGCTTCAACATTTCAAAAATATGAACATTACCTACATGGATAACGGGTTACTGCATTCTGGTAACCGGTTACCGTTGAAACGAATTTGAAAAACAAGACTGTTTTAAATGCTCTTTGTTTGTTGCATTTGTCCATGAATCATTGCACTTCTACATTCATTTAGAACTTTTTGAAAGGGTGAAATACATGTATATAATCAAATATTTCTGAAGTAGAAACACACATAAAAGAACAACAATCATAACATACAATTCAACATTTTGTTTCTCATTTTCAAACAAGTGCATGGATTAATATTTTGATCTTGCATGAAACTTTTACTCTGACATTTTCAAATACATCATTAGAAAAGTTTCATCATATGCATTGAGCACTTGTGTAATATATTTATTAAATTTTTGTCTTGAAAGAGAAGAGATCAATACTTTGTATTGATATTGATTATTAAATTTCATATCTACTTCAAGAATTTGTTTCTAATTATTTTTCCAAAGTGATTGTGGTATAACCTTGTTGTCCAGGTTTGTTGGAAGCAAGAGAGTATTAAGGGAGAATTGTTCTCTTTCTACTTTGTATTGGTTACCTTGTTTTCAGGATTGTTGGAAACAAGTGTGTACATTGAAGAGGATTGTTCTTCATGTACTTGGTTGGATCTTAAAGGATAGTTAAAGCCTTTGATCTCCCTATAGGTTAGATATTAAGCATCACATTTGGATGTGGATAGGTTGTACAATAATTCTAACTATAGTGAAATCTCTTACATGTTAGTAAGGGGACTGGAGTACTCTCGAAGTGTGAGGGAAACCAGTATAAATCTCTTGTATTCTTTATTTTCTGTATTTACCGCTTTCATATTCATACACAAACAAGAAAATAAGAACATCATCACATAAAAGAGTAAAAATCTTCAATCCATTTTATTCAACCCCGTCTTAGGCGCACTCAAAAATCAACATTTGGTATCACAATAAGTTAAGGTAACTTGTTCCTATTTGATCCAGAATGGCTTCTGCACAACCAACTTTCAAAGATGATGGTAGTAACAACAAGCCTCCATTGTTTTGTGGTGAATACTTTGACTTTTGGAAAATTCGCATAAAGATGGAGTGCCCAAAGTTGTCCAAGAAAAATGCTTACAAGGGAAGAAAATTCTCAAAATCCAACAAGGTTTACATTGAAGAAAGTGATACAAGTTCTTCACACGATTCAGAAAATGGAGAACATGCAAATCTTGATTTTATGGCATTACATTATTCAGATGGTGAAGAGGAAGAAAAGATTAGAAATTTTTATAATAAGAAAATAGTTGCTAAAAATAAAAATTATGTTACAAGCAACTTTCTTCCTACTTGTTTATATTATGGTATTATTGGTCACACACATAATGCTTGTCATGCAAGAAATTCTAATGCTACTAGTGAACATTATGTGTGGCTCAAGAAAGGAACTAACCATGAAGGATCCAAATCACTTTGGGTACCTAGAAAAACCTAACTTGT